TGGACTCAGATCGTTGTCGAAGGCTACAGAGATACGAGAAATTCAAGATGATGTAGTCTCGTTAGATCAGATACGTGAAGGAAGATTAGAAAGTAATGATGAGGAGGAGGGGATAGCAGTCTGAGGAAACTTGAGTGCGGATAGAGGTGTGAGGGGGTTGACACTTCCCGGCTGCCTACACCATGGAAGGCTATTTCTGATTACGGTACCTGGAAGAGATATGTGTGACCACACAGCCCATCGGACATCTGCTTGAGGCCTACCACACGAAGCCTTCTGAGTATGAGTATTTTGAACTTTTGTATTTTTTGGGACCCGAAGGTCGAAAAGAAACGAAAAATGAAGCAACACTGGGCTGACCACTTCAAGAAACTCCTGCATCGACCAACACCAACACCTACAACTACAACTCGTCCACAAATACCACCAGCAACTCAGACACACTATTACCAGTGAACACAAACCCCACAACAAAAGCAGAAGTGAAGTCCTCAACGCCACGCCATAAACTTACCGAAATCCAGGAAAGCAGCAGCACAAGATGGAATTCCACCAGAAGCACTCAACACACATGCAGAGACAACAGCGGATACGCACACACCACTACTCCAGAAGGTTTACAAGGAAGGAACGAACGAACGAATGAAAGGTACCTACCGATTGATCGGAAGAACAGCTACCTCGTCAAACTTCCAAATAAATGAGAACTAAGTCTTTGCGAGAACTGGCGCCGAGTCATGCTCCTCTCCCTGTACACCCACAGCAAACAAAATATTGAGCCACATCAACCTGGAGTGACTAAAACATGCGCTGGATTCAAGATTACCACCGGAACAAGTTGGCTGGCTGGCTAGCTTCATGTGTGCATTAAATCATGACGCCACACTACGCATCATCATAGAACACAGTACACAATGGCAGTCAATCCTCTCTCTCTCTCTCGCTCCCCCTCTCAACTTCGTCGATTTTGAAAAGGCCTTCGACAGAGTCCACCGAGAAGTAATTCGGCAGACAGCTGCTTCAACACTACGGTCTCAGTACCACAAGCTTTCAACAACCTCATTCAACAGCCATATGGCGACGCCACAAGCAAAGTGATTCTCAACACAATGGAAAGCTCAGTGATGCCTTTGAAGTGAAGACAGGAAAGAGTAAGACAAGGTTGTCGCCTACTATCACTAATGATCTTTCTGATTGTGGTCGACTGGACTAGACTGCACTGGACTGAACTGGACTGGATCATGCAACAAACTGTGAGAAGCGAGAAGAGAGGCATACGCTGTTTCACTGATGATAGGACCACAGAAGAAGATTTGGATATCACCCACGATTTACGTCTAATGTCACGTCGCACAAACTCGAAGATCCACAGGCAAAAACTAACAAGTTGGCAAAAGAAGCAGAGCAGCGAAGGCACAACCTCAAGTGAACCTAGAGAGGACACAGCTGATCAACAGATCCAACCAACAACAACAAGCACCAATCTACATCAACGGGAGAAACCTAAATGAAGTAGTCTCTTTCACCTACCCACCTACCTACGCAGCATCGTTTCAACCACAGGCAGCACAGGCACAGGCACAGAAACAGATGAGGATGTCAAAGCCAGGATCGGAAAGACAGCAAGACACCGCTTCCATCATTAGTCTGAAATCAGTGTGGAGATCTACTCCACTCCACTCCACTCCACTCAGCATAAAGCACGAACAACATCCACATCCACAACATCAATTCAGTCAAGTCAGTGCTGCTACATGCTTCACAGACTTGGCGCGTCACAAAAAGCATTTCCAACAAACTATAGACATTCATCAACAGCTGCCACCTACGCCCACGCTCACCTCATATTGAAGATCAGATGGATGGCCACAAGAAACTCAGTGTGGCTGGCGACGAACCGACGAAGCAACAACCCATCACCCAACATGTATGCAGAAGAAAGTGGAGATGGAATGGATTGGACATAAACTTATGAGACCATTCGGGGACATCACGCGTCAGGCCAGGCCAGACCCTCGAGTGCAACCCAAACGCGAAACGATGAGTTGGGCGTCTGATGGTGACATGGAGGAGATCATATGAGGAAGAAACGAAAGCTTGTGGGCAGTCGTGAAGCCATGTTGAAAAAACTGCAGAGAAGAGAGTGAAGTGATGACGTGCCAATGAAGCCCTATGTTTCACTAGGAACCCAAGGGACAAATAATAATAATAGCTGGTGGCCAGCATGTATCCAGTTTGCTCACATAACGCAATCCCACAGAAGTTCACCAGTAATCTGCATAGCTCAGTGATAAAGTCTCTGACAAAATCACATGGTGATCTAGCTTATAATTATCGGAAGACGAGGTTTCGGAGAAGCCAGACTCACACATTTCAACAGCCTTAATTTCTAGATTTATGGTTTTATACTATTCGATTTCTAACATTTGAAGTGTGCTTCGCAGAGCTGTAAAAGTTAAGTCATTAATCACAAAGTACACTTGATCGCAAGACTTCAGTTAACATCTATGCACGTCAACAGGCTACCTTCTGATACCAAATTCAAGCACGAACGAGGTAACAATACCATTTCAATTCTTCAGGATCCAGTCCACTAGTACATATGTCAGTAGAAACATATATGTTACCTAAAACGCCTTAGCCCCACCAGCACTTTAATGTTTATTAATAAAGAGAGTTGATTTTCACTTGATTAGTAATGGAAACGAACTAAATTTTGCACGCGAAAGTACATATAGCTACGAAACATGACTAACCTTCAAACAGTAAGACAGCTTCCAAACTGGCAAACTAAAGTCTACATGGTTGATGAGGCTTATTTTAATCCGACAAATTATTGCTGATCTGAGAAGGATTTATAAGTGTATCTCTGTGGCAAAATGTAAAAACAGAATCATTGTTCAAATTAATGCTACGAGTAAGCTAAAAAAACAGAAGTCATAATTTTGTTAACGATATGATACACGCCTTTCACGAAACTTACAAAGCGATATTGTGAATTAGGAAATTAACTACATAATTCAGCAGACGTTGGTATGTAAACGCAAGTGAATGATATAATTCTTTTAGTGGGTTACTACGCCTAAAGATATAAGAAAATAAATATAAAGACAATCTTTATTAGCGTTTTGTAGGCGGATTTTCTTCTATGATTAGCATAGGGGACAGTTGCTCAGTGACATATTTTGCACTTATTCATTCTCAGTAAAATTAAACAACTAATGTATACAGTATTGTAATGGTATGTTGTTGTTTTAACTGAAAGATACTTATTGAAAATATTCACAGTTTATCACGTCATTAAATATTCTGTCCAATCTATTATGATGTAATTTTTGAAGTGCTAACTGCCATTGATATCTGAAAGCGTATTTATTGGTTTCTAACTTGCAGCTTTTTTATTGTCATTAGCACCTAGAACAAATAAATTTAGATGTCAAACAGCTGATAGATAAGGAGTTAGCTTAAACCCACTGTGATGCAGGTTTAATAAGCCAACTAATATTAAACATGATGAAAGGTTTGATGTAGATTACTAGCCTCCATTACCATAAATCAATCCAGAGGAGTGCTGCCTCTTCTTCATGAAGAATCTGCATGTCACAGAAAACACCTATTTTGCTCTGCTTTATCAGCAGTTAAGATATGTATGCTAATTCGCGCTGATTCCAAATCAAGTTTTAGCAAAAAACCCTGATAAGTTTACATTAGTTCCTCAATGATGATGTTAAGGTTCCTGTATGATGTTCATCCGTATTTCCTTGGGTGTTTCTGAAAGCATTCTCTAAAACATTTCTTCAAATGCTGAATCATCATCACTCTGACCTTGAATTATCATAATAATATATGAGTAATAAATTCTACTCAGAACGTCATCCAGGAAATAATACTGCATCACTTTATGCTAAATGAAATAAGAAATACAATATGGAATTATACTCTACCACAAACCCCCAGTTATACTCTTACATTATTGATAATATAGGTACACAAAATATCCCTACCTCTTATACTTTCACAGAGAATATTTTAAGTATTTTGCAGTGCATATATAGATCTGAAGAATTTTTTAACTACCGACTGATATCAACTCAAAAATAATTGTTATACTGAATATGTATGTTGTTGGAGCTCAAGACTCAAAAAGTCTGCGACCTCAATACATATTAGGTTCAACCTAGGATCTTTTTAAGTAGAGTGTACATCCATGTAAACGTAGAACCTAGATCAGAAGTGCTCCAGTTCAAGATAGCCTAATTCATAATAACATACAGAGAACAAGTGGACAGAAAACGATTAACATGAAAGTAGACAAATCACGTTACACTGATTATAGCATCCAGCAATTTGGTCATCATCTAGCGATCACTGTTTCCAAATTCAATCTAGTAGAGATCAACTGTAGTTTTTTGTACAAATTCATAAGTTGGTAATCACTTTCGTTACGACTTGACTGGACTCATAAATATAAAAATGATACTCATCAGCATGTCTACGATGAAGTTAGATTTCAGTGGAAGATGACATCGATGATAAATATCACTGCAGGTAACCAACCCATAACTTTTAAAGTAAGCGCTTATACTCGATTAAAAAACCTTCAATAAGGTAGTACATTTGCTAAAGGTCCCTTGTCGTTAGGGATTTTTGTCTGTGACATGAAATGCAAACGTCAGACCAACAAGGATAATTAGTGTCAGATGGGTGAGTTAGTTTAGTGGCCTAATGGTGAATTGAAATGTCATCGATACATGGATGAAAACGCTCGAATATTTTCGGTTGAGCATAAGTTTATCGCAGATTTAAGTTCTTTCTGACTGGTTAAATCACTGTACTCTTAAGCTTTCCTCTAGGTACTATTAAGTCTTTATCAATGACTTCCTTTAAGTCCCAGTCATTGCATACGATAATTAGATCCATAATCAATCACAAAATACAGTCATTCTTAAGGTTTTATCAACTTTATACTGAGTGTTCACTTTCCTATATGATTTCCGCAGGAGATTGGAGCACTATTCTTCGAAACGAGTGCTTTAACCGGAGAAAATGTAAATGAGTGCGTAGAGGCACTAGCCAGGTAATCAAACTTATTTTAAAGAAATTTTTAAAAACTGATATATATAAGCGCATCGTCTCAAGTTGCCACACTTCACAACAATACATAGACAACAGGTTGGTAGAAAAAGTGATAAAGTACACAAAGTTGTGTGAGAGAGTGAACAATCTGAAGATAAAGATTAGTAGGAATATCCAAGCTTTAGAAAACGTCATAGAATGAATACATTTGGGGCACGGTGAGCGATTTTCAGCCATGTCACCAGAAGGCCTCAACCACTGGTTCATGTTGCCTCGGGGACTCCAAACACACAGTCTACGTCTCACTGCAAGGTTCAGGCCAACAGTAAGAGGTGTCGACTGGTGCCAGGTCTCGATCTAGCTATTCTGAACCCTCTTCCAAGCTAATACAACTCCCCCCACCAGCATGCAGTACATGTCCAAACCATCTCAGTCGACTAAGATTCACAACCTCACCAATCGACCTTCTTCCTTATCTAGCACCGTTTGCCTGACCTCAATATTACTCATACTGCGATTCCATCAAACGCGAGCAACGCTGCGAAGACACCTATAATATATATATATATATATATATATATATATATATATATATATATATATATATATGCATATATATATGCATATTAGTATGGTGTAATTGGTTGACAGGAAACTTAGTACCCAGCTCTTCTGCTTATCAGAACTTGCCAATAAGGTGCATCTTTCAAATTGAGGAAGATCATTCTCCTTTAGCATTCAACTCACTATAGTTTACTGCAAAATTCAAAAACCCATCTGATTACATTTTGGAATGATGACAATGTCGCTGAAAACAACGGAGAAATCTTAGTATCACGATAAAGCCTTAACAGAAGAAATGTTTATTTAAAAATCACATTAACACCTAGTGTAAACAGCCTGTACATAAATAATTCAATCAACTAGTAGCAGAATCACAATGCAGCTCTCCGTGAGTTTACTGTGCCGGATTTCGGTCACATGCCGTTTAATATATCAAACCCATCAGCCTCATACTGAATAATTCACGCAACCTGGACGATCCCAGAATTCCCTACAGTAAACACTTAGTTCGAAATGCTGCACAATCTGTAAAGCATTGAACAGAGGATACGCTTAGTGTCTACTGTGTACAAAACAACCTTGAGTAAAATCATATCATTTTCATATCTAACTTTGACTTTTAATCACAACACTATTGAAAAACTCCAAACCGAAGAAACAATGGTAACTGCGTATAGAAGGCATCGTGTCTAGGGAAAACCGACTTTATACTCGGGAATATGTTTGCATTTTACACTTACATGGAATCTGTTAATTAAACAGCATGATAAAATCACTACAACTCATCGTATGGTAACATAGGCATCACATTAATCTACAGGAAAAACCTGTTTAAGAACCCATCTTTTAACGAAATAATGTTATGATATTTTATTCCTTTACTTCAGAGTTCGATGTGAGTGTTCAGCAACATTTTACATTCGGAGAAACCTATATTACTAATCTACCCATTGGTTTCCAAGGTAACATATAAGAATAGTTCATCCAAGCTTTAATGTTGGCAGTCTTCTAATGTCACTAAGACCACACACTTTTTAACTGTATACATAACACAGAAAACTATTCACACAGGTGAAGTTTTGGGAACACCTGGATTTTAAGGCAAAACAATTATACATAACAGCAGAATAGAAACAAGATGTTTAAACGACATCTCCTCATATCTGCAACATGTCTACTGACAATATGTTTCATTGTCAGTAAATACCAATAAGACCCGGTATTACTTCCAAACGATCTAAGTTTCTACATCTACTATCAGCATATCGAGGTAGGAAGTAGGGAGATGAAAGACAGAAAAAAAATCTAAAAGTGGGTAGTCACCAAACGAGAACAAGGAGTGAAAAATTATGATATTCGGTACGACTTTTGAGATGATGACAAAGCTTAAGTTGCGTCTGAGCCTCTAAAATCGACTGTGAGCCATTCCAAACAAAATGTCCGATAATCGATCTCAGTAGACTTGCAGACTTCGACCTATAAGTCTACATTTCCTTACATGGCTCAGACCAACAAAGACTTCATGGGCTGACGTCATAATTCAATCTAGCCAGCTTTAAACTCCTCGAGCCTGAATCTAAATTAGCTCACACTGTTTGGCCCGAAACACATTTCCCAATCATCTGAGTTGATGAAGGTTCATCTACGCACCAACCAACTCAGCTCTTTGGAACTGGTTTCCATATTACTGGCGTGGTGTCGCTGTGACATAGCCCATGCTACGCAGGCAACGGTGGTCAAAAGCCACAAACATTACGACAACTGCTTTTTATCTTATTAAGATACGACAGGTTTTTCCGGCATGGTTGGATTTCAAGAAACAAAAGAATCCCATCATAATAGCTCGTTGGGTTATTGTGATATGCAAACCAAACAACCATTTCACAGTGGCAGCTGACAGCCATGATATATTCCAATCATGGATGCCATAAAATTCATATTGTATCGTCATATTTGTGGAAATTTTTAGTGATTTATTTTATCCTTACAGGCTACTGTGTGCTCAAGAAGACTACAACTTGCGCTGCCCCCAGCTTAAACTGTCAAACGATAATCCAAGGTCAACAAACAGTAAATGCTGTGCACGATAAAAATACAACCTATTTACACCCTTGTCTATTCGAAGATGAGGAGTCAGATAACCTTTATTTATTTCAAAACTGACAAAAAAAGATTGTTTCATCTTCTAGAAAACGAAACAATTTCTATTTAGTGGTATACTTGATAATTTTGGTAAACACATTTGATTGTTTACTTCCAATTGCAATAATAATGTAAAAATATCATGTATACTTTTGATGATACCACTCAGCTACACCCAAGCAAAAACAAAAATCCAACACAAGCCTCCTACATAAAATAAAAACGTTACACTACTAACAAGGAAACTGTAGCACTTAAGAAATTAGTTCATGTATCTGAATAAGTCCATGACACATATCCTCAAATACATATAACTGAATGGTCAAATATGAAACCTGACCAATTCAGGTTACACCGTATTTGTAGACAAAGAGCACGCGGAAATGCAATGACGAGTAATAACTAAGTGTACGATAATATTTAAATTAAGAAAACAACCATATATATATATATATATATATATATATATATATATATATATATATATATATATATATATATATATATATATATATATATATATATTTCTTTATTAGCGATAACCTTCTGAGATATTAATTCATGTTTGTAACTACAAAGGTTAGTTAAATTCCAAGCGTTGAATTGAAAGACTTCAGTTATCCACACAACTTTAGCTCCTATTTAACACCTACCGGAAATGATTTATTTTCATTGTTTTAAGCATGCCGAAAATCTGTCCTTTGTACTCCTAATCAAGTTGACATCGAGGTAAATGATAACTGGTAACTATGCAGTACAAAACTCAATAATTTCAGCTGATTCAACCTTACAACTTTTTCATCAAGTACCTTATTGTCATTTTGTATAAACAGAAAAATTTTCAACATTTTTAATCGAACACTAATAACCAATTGCACGTAGGTTTTCTCGAATCATTTACTTTTGATGACCATTCCTTACAAAAAATAAAAATGGATCCAGCCTGCACATTGGATTTCATAATTTATAAGCATATGTCCAGTGATCATTAAGGACAACTATGTAGTAATGTTAACAGATACGAATCCCGAAGAGTTATTGATTGTATATATAATTTCCACCTTTCACCTTTAAAAGTTAGCAATTGAAAGCGAGGGGATAAAATTCTAATCAAAAACGAGATAGAAATTCGGCGAATAATTAATTCTTTTCCAGCGAAAATCAATATAAGCTAAACAACGAAGGAAACAATGAAGACGGTGAATATTAAAGAAAAACAGATTTCTCATTTTATATGCATAAGCGAATTGGAAAGAAACTGAAGTAACACAATGAAGAAAACAGTATATACACGCAGGCCAGACTGCGAATACTTCAAATAGCAGAAATTATGATTTAGGAATAGACACAGAAACAGGTTGAGGAGTTGGACATATGCGATAGACCTGATTAATTGGTAAACGGCGATAAAGTGAAATACAGTTCAACATCCATTCAATACTTATAACAGGGACACCGTACATTCGATAAAGTTCTGAAACGGAAAAGTAGTAATATATGCTCAATTACCAAGAAATGAAACTGTATAAAATATTTAAAAGCCTAAAAAATCACCATTAATTGAACAAGTATATTCGTATATGTAATATCGAGAATTATTTTAAACGTCTTAACAGCAGGAATTTAAATATATAAAGATATCAGTGCATGAAGTCTATGATTATCGGTCTGAGCGATCCGCGAGGCCATAGGAATCAATAGTTGACGACTCTTGGTGACATAGTTGAAAATCGGTCACAATGGCATAGGCGTATTCACTCTTTGATATTTTCAAAAAGCTTGAATGTTTTGAATAACCCTAATTTTTAAATTTCTTCTCCACTAGGACGACTTTGTCTGTTTGTATATTAATCTTTCTCTATCCACGTGTTCTCTGTGTACTACTATGAAATGTGACAACTTCAGTCGATGCACTTGTGTGTGAGGTTCCGCGTTGAATTTTGCCTGCCTATATGTAAAGATGTATGTGAACTGTTACGAAACATTAAAGAACAGGGTTACTGAGAGGTCTATTAACATTAAAAAAAATTCATATAGAGAAAGCTTACACGGTGACAAGTCTACACCGTTTTAAACTAGCAATTATTAAAGTTTTATTAAATTTTTACTTGTAACAACATAATACACTTTTTGATGATTGCAGCTAATTACTAAAAATTCAATACAATTGAAAAAATGTACCTTGACAATCCTCAATATTGAAGTCAGGAGAATCTTTATCTGTAAGTATTATGGCCCGTGGCTTTCGTACGGTTGTTCCAGTAATATCCATTGACTGCATCACTTTGTTAGTTGCATTCATTAGGTCTTCAGGTTTTTCGAATACTCGTACAGCGCCTCCATCCGATGCTAGCTGACAAAAATCAACCAGTTGGAGAGCTCCCAAATTACGATATGCACATAACCATAAATCAGAAAATGGACGACGATCACTTTGACTAGCATCATTCAGCTGATTAGCTGGGTTTCGGAATGTCAATCTATCAAGAGACTGTGGAATAGCAGGAACGCCTAGTCTTCCTCGTCTAGGCCCTTCATGACAATCTCCACAAACTGTATCTCCTTCAATCTCATATGGTCCCTATTTTGTAAAAGGGAAAATAACAAAACAGAAAACTTATAAACGAGAGGACAGCAATAGCGTAGCAAAAAACAGTATATAAACCGACCCTACAAAACAAAGAAATATATTGATTTAAGAATAAAAGATAACAAATAGCGACAACACCCGCATAAATCATGCGAAAATCGCTCAAATTCATATACTATCGTCACCGTGCTCCGTGAGACGGAGAATGACTTACCTTCATGAGGTATTTTGAACAACATAAATGTATCTAAATAACTTACAACCGGATAATTTGAAAATATCAAAAAGTGAGAATACATCTTTGCGTTACAGTAAATTAATCATCAAATAACCAGTTTATTATTCCATGGTGAACAACCGATTAGTCTGATAAAAAAAATTTTATTGAGAGAGTTGTGGGGATTTGGAAATACTTCAAGTTGTTATTCATCGTAGACTGACATCAATTGGGGGAATAAAGGAAACCTGGGAGCACAGGACAGTTGTTTCGTCCTAGTATGGAACTCCTCAGCAGTACACACCCAGTGGCTCAATGGTAACGTGCTGGCCACGGAACCTGAAGGTCGTGGGTGCGTACTACTGAGGAGTTCCACACTAGGACGAAACAGCTGTCCAGTGCTCCCAGGTTTCCTTTGTTCCTCCAACTGATATCAGTCGACGATGAATAACAACTTGAAAAGCAATTATCACAAAGTTAAGAATACGGTCTCCTGGTGATTGATCTATGATTATTAATAATACAACAGAATTTTAGGAAAGTGAGAGAAATTACAATGACAAGTTCTAAGTGACAAAGTTCCATTGTGTATGAAACAAATATATACATTTTAGATACCAAGCTCAACGTTTCTCTGAAATTGAAATGCTTCATCTATTTCACTATCGACAAGCCGTTAAAAAGGTTAGATAAGATTTCTGTAGAGATAAATATGATGTTCAGAAGTGTAGGCTCTTTCTGTGAATTCTACCTCAGAAAAATCTGCTATCAGCAAATTCTAGTGCTTCTTCCTATCTATCCCGTACATATCCAAATGTAAATTTTTCTATAAAAATATAAGATATGTTCATAATGACGAAATTTAATCTCTATACAGGTAGGATGATTGTTTCGCAGTTAGAATTCCCTTTTCGTTTATCCAAACGGTACGGAACTGACTCGTATAAGATACGTCCTCTCTGAGCTGACGATGTCAGTGGCGCAGATGTATACACATATTATCTTCATCTTAACGACACTATACCGAATATCACCATTTTGTTACTCCTCTTTTCTCTTTCCTCGTACTTTATATTTCTTTCGACTACATTCTCTTATCTTCATCCTTCACCTCACTACATTTCTACTTGATTTACTGTACTGAGCTGCGGCAACTTGGACCGTTACGCAGTAATGCCTGATCCTATGTTGATAATGATTGATTGATTGAGCTGACGGCTTTCAGTGACTCTCACTGAACCAGATCGTCACTATCTTCACTTGAATTCTGCCATTCTGTGGAATCATATGAATATCGCCAAGTGCGGTAGTGTTTGGATGTAGTAGAAACTATTAGTTGATAAGCTACATAAAATAAATCGGAGTTTTATGTTCAAGAATCCAGTATTACTGAACATTTATCTCTTCAAGCTCTATATATATTTTCATTTTTACTTCTTTTCAAACACTAAATTTAACCGCTTTTTCTCTAGATATCGCTTCCAGTAATAATAAACGGAATTCCCTTTCAAATCAATTCACAGAATGATTTTGTCTAGCTCTGAACGACTATTATCACAACCTCATAATAACCACCATGCTAAACTAGTCTCCAGACCTCTCAACTTTTGAATACAAACCAAAGTACATGTTTGAGTTCATACGATCTAGAACTAGGTCTATATATATTTTTGACGCCTACAATACTCCCAAAATGCACGATGCAATAGCGAAATGTAACCAACCAACTGCTTTCCCTAGAATAAAAGAAGTGTACACCACTCTTCAGGCACTGTCTATAATCTGATTTACAATACCTAAAACTAAACTGAGCGTAACAAAAACTTTAATGGAGTGAATACGGTTCTAATACAACAAAAGCAAAATGAAATGTTTTTCTGAAAATAAATCGATATCAATACTTCTGTATTTACCTCATCCACAAGTCTTTTGGATGCAATACATTCACGAATCCAACCCGTATTTACCACCCATGCTCGGTTAAGAATGCCCATGAAATACTTCAAAGTACGTTTAACTACTCGAGGGCGACCTAAATTGTAAATTTTGTAAGATAATAAGTGGAAGTTTTTATTAAAAATGAACTACAATAATTACAAACGACGCGAAGTATAACTGAAGTATGAAAAAATCTAAAACAAAATATATGGTGTATCAATACAACAAACTAATCCACTACAAGTTTATTTAGTCATGTATGATGAACACAAAATGAAAGTGAATATCACTAATATGATGATATCAGATGAGAATGCTATTTAAAAACATCAATCCACAGATGTAGAGATCATTTTTAACCTGTTACATCTCCGCTAGACGGAAGATAGATTTTAACAGGAAATAACGATAGATTTCAGCAAAAAAATATTTGTGCATTTCACTTTGATAGTATCTAGTAAAAATGGATTTGTATAATATTATTATATAATATTGTTTGTCCTTTGGGTTCCTAGTGAAACATAGGGCTTCAGTAGCACGTTGCTATTTTACTCTCTTCTCTGCAATCTTTTGAACCTGGCTCCATGACTGCCCATAAGCTTTCATTTCTTCTTCACAAGATCTCCTCCATGTCACCCTGGGCTCAGATGCCCAACTTCCCGTTTCGCCTTTGGGTTCCACTCGAGGGCCCGGCCCGGCCCGATGCGTAATGTCTCCGAATGGTCTTCTCAGTACATGCCCAGTCCATCTCCACTTCCTTCTGCATATTTAGAAAAAGACTGATTGAGCGAAAAAAATATATTTCTTTTCAATTAGGTCTTCATCTTGGGCTCTAATTGAAAAGAAATATATTTCTTCGCTCAATCAGTCTTTTTCTAAATGTCTAAATGGAAATATTCAATGTATTGAAATCTTCTGCATATTTGTTGAGCGATAGGTTCTTGGTTGGTTCGTTCCTAACCGGCCAGAGTTCCTTGTTGCTTGTTCCTATTATTCTGGCCATCTAAGCTTCAGTAACGAGCCAGTGTAGGCAGTTGTTGATGAATACCTGTAGTTTGTTGGGAATGCTTTTCGTGACGCGCCAAGTCTGTGAACCATATAAAAGCACTGACTTGACTGACTTGGTGTTGAAAATCCGGATCTTGTTCATGCTTTATGCTGAGAGGAGTGCAGTAGATCTCCACACTGGTTTCAGGTTAATGAAGGCCTGTCTTGCTTTTCCGATCCTCGCTTTGACGTCCTCGTCTGTGTCACCTGTAGTTGAGACGATGCTGCTTAGATAGGTGAAAGAGGCTACTTACTTTAAGTTTCTCCCGTTGATGGTGATTGGAGCTTGTTGGTGGTGGTGAGGGTGTTAGTTGGGTACCTTCATCACCTCTGTCTTCTCTATATTCACTTGAAGTCCCGTTTTCCCTGCCTCTCCTGTCAACTTGTTGGATTTTGCCTTTACATCTTCAAGTCTGTGTGACATTAGACACAAGTCATCGGCCCTCGTTTTCAAAAAAAATACGTAATTCTTAATATACAATAATCTATAGGTGTTGACCATTCTGACTTTTGTGTAATCAAATGACGATTACTATAAATGTTACCACAGACCATACAAATCTACAACATAAAGTGATAGGTCATACAGAAAAGCAATATCGCTCAGTATTTATTTACTTATGGATCCAGTACACTGTGGACTGAATGCAAAATTAAATGTTTAGTTTCAGTATGATAACATAGGATCTTTATAACAGCGACCACTTATTTAAGACGATTAACGATCCATGTCAGAAGTGTTTTTTTCCTATTTTTCAAAATACTAATTACTCAAAAATAACATCCCCTTACTATACCTCTATAATTAATATTAGTTATTCGTTCCCCTCGATAAACTGGATATACGATATAACCTGTCACACACCTATGGACCACTGTGTTGAGTTGGACTGAAAGGAAACAACTATGGCTTTAAAACAGTTCATTTTTGAAAATGTATCTCCAAAACATCAACAGTCAAACAACTATAAAGAATATTAAATACCTTCAGTTTATCAACTTTTAATCAACATCCAAAATAAGTATCGTAAAATAATATTAATGTACATTTCATTAAGTAAATCCTCTTACCGCTTCTTCCTTGATCACTACATGAGTTGTCTTTAATGGAATGAATCGAGTATGCTCCAGAACATTAAACTGTAAACAAAACTTATACAACAAAGCCTAAATACGGAAACAACAGAAGACAATAAAAGGAAAATGTAATCAGTGGTTAGTTGAATCATGAAAACAAGTATACAAATAGTACTCAATTATTATTGAAGAGATCAGAAAGAATTGTAGGAGACGGACTTCAAGAGACTGCAAATAATTTTTAAATTGGAAAGTTTACGCTGACATTTCTCACAGATTGGTTTTCCAACAACCCAACAGTTGTGCTGACAGGGTTTTCCCGCTGAAAACTACTCAGCCGAGATTACAAAGTATGATCTCCTACACAAAAGTATCATGAACTAAGGAAATATAATAATGAGTAACATGTATAGAAGTAAACAATTAACGCTGCTCCGCAGGTTCCGTTAAACTGGACGGCTCTCTTGAAGCCGAGTGCATCAGAAGTTAAGTTAGACAGGAAACGTTTTATTTTCGAGCTCATATACACATTGGAAAATCTTCTACGCAACACTCAGCAAATACCGCTTTGATAAAGGCAAAGATGCAAACATTTTACACATCGATATCATCAATAAAAAGCAGAAGCTAAGAAAATACATTACTATTTGCAGGTACAACAGCAAAGAAAAAAAGGAAACAGTCGGCTGACCACCTCAAGAAACTCCTGCATCAACCACCACCAACACCTACAACTACAATTCGTCCACAAATACCACCAGCAACTCAGACACACTATTACCAGTGAGCACAAACCCCACAACAAAAGCAGAAGTGAAGTCCTGAACACCACGCCAAAAAGTTGCCGAAATCCAGGAAAGCAGCAGCACAAGATGGAATTCCACCAGAAGCACTCAACACACATGCAGAGACAACAGCGGATACGCACACACCACTACTCCAGAAGGTTTACAAGGAAGGAACGAACGAACGAATGAAAGGTACCTACCGATTGATCGGAAGAACAGCTACCTCGTCAAACTTCCAAATAAATGAGAACTAAGTCTTTGCAAGAACTGGCGCCGAGTCATGCTCCTCTCCCTGTACACCCACAGCAAGCAAAATATTGAGCCACATCAACCTGGAGTGACTAAAACATGCGCTGGATTCAAGATTACCACCGGAACAAGTTGGCTGGCTGGCTAGCTTCATGTGCGCATTAAATCATGACGCCACACTACGCATCATCATAGAACACAGTACACAATGGCAGTCAATCCTCTCTCTCTCTCTCGCTCCCCCTCTCAACTTCGTCGATTTTGAAAAGGCCTTCGACAGAGTCCACCGAGAAGTAATTCGGCAGACAGCTGCTTCAACACTACGGTCTCAGTACCACAAGCTTTCAACAACCTCATTCAACAGCCATATGGCGACGCCACAAGCAAAGTGATTCTCAAAACAATGGAAAGCTCAGTGATGCCTTTGAAGTGAAGACAGGAAAGAGTAAGACAAGGTTGTCGCCTACTATCACTGATGATCTTTCTGATTGTGTTCGACTGGACTAGACTGCACTGGACTGGACTGGACTGAACTGGACTGGATCGTGCAACAAACTGTGAGAAGCGAGAAGAGAGGCATACGCTGTTTCACTGATGATAGGACCACAGAAGAAGATTTGGATATCACCCACGATTTACGTCTAATGTCACGTCGCACAAACTCGAAGATCCACAGGCAAAAACTAACAAGTTGGCAAAAGAAGCAGAGCAGCGAAGGCACAACCTCAAGTGAACCTAGAGAGGACACAGCTGATCAACAGATCCAACCAACAACAACAAGCACCAATCTACATCAACGGGAGAAACCTAAATGAAGTAGTCTCTTTCACCTACCCACCTACCTACGCAGCATCGTTTCAACCACAGGCAGCACAGGCACAGGCACAGAAACAGATGAGGATGTCAAAGCCAGGATCGGAAAGACAGCAAGACACCGCTTCCATCATTAGTCTGAAATCAGTGTGGAGATCTACTCCACTCCACTCCACTCCACTCCACTCAGCATAAAGCACGAACAACATCCACATCCACAACATCAATTCAGTCAAGTCAGTGCTGCTACATGCTTCACAGACTTGGCGCGTCACAAAAAGCATTTCCAACAAACTATAGACATTCATCAACAGCTGCCACCTACGCCCACGCTCACCTCATATTGAAGATCAGATGGATGGCCACAAGAAACTCAGTGTGGCTGGCGACGAACCGACGAAGCAACAACCCATCACCCAACATGTATGCAGAAGAAAGTGGAGATGGAATGGATTGGACATAAACTTATGAGACCATTCGGGGACATCACGCGTCAGGCCAGGCCAGACCCTCGAGTGCAACCCAAACGCGAAACGATGAGTTGGGCGTCTGATGGTGACATGGAGGAGATCATATGAGGAAGAAACAAAAGCTTGTGGGCAGTCGTGAAGCCATGTTGAAAAAACTGCAGAGAAGAGAGTGAAGTGGCGACGTGCTACTGAAGCCCTCTGTTCCACTGGGAACCCAAAGGACAAGGAATGAATTAAAAAAAGAGATGCAAAAACCAACCGGAAGGGATAGGGTACCAAATACTTTTATGGTATTCCCTTCAACTGACAGTACTGACCTTATGCTTATGATTTCGACCAGTTACGTTCGTAGATATGCGGAAATATGAGTTCCTCGAAAAATAATGGTTATCAGGAATGCGTTCAGTTCCATATCAATTACTTCCTCCATTTAAAGAGAAAAATCTTTAAGTGATGAAGGCCGCAACAAATAAACAAGAAGGAAAACTAGAGATGAATAGTGGTTAGCAGTGGAATCCAGGATACATATTTCGTCCCACTTGGAACTCATCAGCTGGATGTGCCTGCCTTTCAGTGAGTGTTGTTCCCACCGAGATTCGGAATGGGGAGTGATCGCTTCAAACGCCAGAGCATTATAGTTATAGAAAAGATGAATAGAAACCCATATGCCAACAGAGACCGATCAATTCGGTCCAATCAACGACGGTATAATACAAGCAATAACACACACTAAGAAGGAAAACTACACGGCAAACCAAAAGTGAATAAACTCGTAAAGGTCTAATAGACTCTCCGACACAATAAAAAGAACTACGTACGTACACATGGTTTCTGCATTAAACTAAATAACTAGATTTCATATAAACAAGTAGAACCAATGAAAAATTCCAACAAGACAATCTGCTACGATGAAACACGCGTAGCTTGATGATGTCAGTCATTTGTTTAAGATTGAATATGCACTATTCGAAATGGAGAAGTAAAAAAACTACGGAAACAATTACAAAAGACTTACAGCATCTGAAGGCGATAAATTGGAGCCGGTTACAGCAATATTTAACCGACATTTATCAGAAACCATCGTAGACCAGTTTTCATCCACTTGTGTATTGTATGAACTCAAGTTCGTCTCTGGGCAATGAGTTATGTTGCTTAGTTGCATTTGAGTTGGCGAAATGGGATCGCGAACAGTCTGTGAGGATAGGGGCAAGGAACCTGGGATAACATCACACAGAGAACTGTTTGGTGGACTAGCTGGCTTTCTCCATCCATCTTGGCTCAACTGTTCAGAAGGTTTTAATGTGGATATCGCTGATTTCGAAGTAGAAAGTGGATGTTCTTGATTCATGTTACAATTTTCTGGCTCATCTTCTGTTTGAGAGGATGGAATTATATCACCTGTTTCTAACGCACATGTTTCAGGAATCTAAATTACGAACAAAGCATATTTTAAGATAAAGATTATCATAAAGAGTCACAGCTAGAAGACAAAAAACTATAAGAATGATTTTTCAATCTCAGCAGAGCATTTTCTTTAAAAAAAGAATTTCAGGAAGGTTTTTAGAGAACCGAAGCCAAGAAACTCATGTTTACAGACTGAAATAAGTAGCCTAGTCAAGGCGAAAATCTCACTGTAACTACGGCTAGTTTACAATGTATATCATCTAGCATATACGCACAATACGTTGGGAGGAAGCTGAGTAGAACTATGTACGAACAATAGTATCGAAGGGATGTTAATTTCATCATGATGTCAGTCATAAGTAAAAGATAACGGCTGACTGAATTAATGTATAGACAACCGTACTATTCTGTTACTAAACATTTCTCTGGTATTCATTGTTTGTGTTAAATTATTATTTTCTAAATCTGGTACAGCGACGCATTGATTGAATTTGTGACGAAAATGATACAACATAAAGAAAGCAAAAGATCTGAGAGGATCGATGAAGATGAATTGAGTCCTGGCAAAAAACGTGCTGTTTGAAGTAGTTATACACAGATGAGTAATTAGGACAAGACAAGTAGAAGTGACAAAAACAATCAGAGAAAAATAGTTTTTTAAATGGATACAAAATAACAACCGAAGGGTTTCCGAAAATCTGAAGTAGACTGGTTACTAGAATTTTATATAGTGAAAGATGTAGAAGCCAACACCTTTTTAAAGCTTATTCAGCACCTGAATGAATTTATACAACGCCTGTGCTAAATCCCTTCAGGAATCATGCAAAGGAATGCATTTCTATTTAACATACAACCTCAACATCCAGATAAATATAAGCAGACTTAATCCATTGACCAACGCTCTTCACTGAAAGATCTAAGCGATTCATAAACCTCGGATGGTAGCCAGCGTATGCTTAAGTAAATGTAGCAGAATAAAATATACCTCTGATTTCAAAACAATAAACTTCATCCCATTTAGTGGGTTGCAACAATCAGAAACCAATCTGATAGGATTCAGTTAAGTTCCTGAAATCCATAAGGAAGTATCTGTTAGAATATGCTCTAGAGATTAAGGCGAAGATTTGTAGCTCAGGGTGTCAATTTTCCAAGTGAGCTGTTCGCTAAAATAGAGTCTTGTTTGGCAAACATTTTAATGTCATGCTAGATACCGTCATCAGTGTACGAGCTTCATAAAGAAGCTCTACAGGCTTCAACTTTCAGTGAGGCTTCAGGTTTCCGGTTACAAAGTCGTGTCATCCTTTTGCATTTAACCAGAGAGTTACAACGCACTAACAGTTACTAACCGGCAATGATTAACCCTTATTAGGCAGTTCCATATTATACAATGTTCATTTCACTATTTTTCTTAAAAAAACTACATCAGGCGTTAAGAGTCAGCCCGCAGGAAGACCAAAACATACCAAAATAGAGTATTGTAGTGTCGTGTCGTGTCACAACATGACAAATACCAGGTACCACATCATGATAGATTTATGCTGAAAATAAGAGTTCATAATTCATATCCAGGGTGACAGCCACTGATATGACATGCGTAAAATGCATCGCATCATACAAGTAATTGAACCGTGTAACCAATATGTACTATACCTAAACAAAGTAAATCGGAATTTATCTCTACCTGCAAACTGCTGTCACCATATGAATATACCACTAAGGAAACAAATGGCTGAAGATACACAGCCATCGAAGACAGTAAAATTGAACCGACCAAAAACTCAACACAAATCAGAGTTCATCATTCATATCCCCACGGTCACATAAGTGCTTATACAGAGATGTACTTCAAAAGCGACAACTAGTGGTGTTCACCAAAAATGCCCAGTCACCCATTTCTGTTTGACTTCATTATAGAAGTACTAACCGACATGACCTAAAGTATTCCTGACTTCACAGGGAGTGACCTACTCTTTAGATGGAATTTGGTAGACTTGGAGTACACAGACTACATTCTCTTGTTAGGCGAAGATGCCAAAAAAATTCAGGGTCTTTGGGACATCTTGAACAGAAATTTGAGTGTGTTTGACAAGTGTTTTACATCTGTCAAATGTGGGATAATACTCCACGCCTGGTCTGCAGCTACTCCTGGTTTGACGATAGGGAGTGAAGTGGTAGCATCTGATGATTACTTCACTTACTTGGCAAGCTGCATCAACCCAAATGGATCGGTCAGTGACAAGTCACAGATCAGATACAGAATATCCGTCTGGAATTCGCCAATTTGTATCATCACCGGGAACGGTCAGATATCCAGCTACCCATTTAAAGGACAATCACGCTGCGTTACAGTGCGTTCTGTTTTGTTGTACGCCTGAGACATGGCCGTTAAAAGTAGAAGACAATAAACGGTTGCAGGGTTTCGATACACAGCGTCTTCGTAGAATGGCGAAAAGTACTAGACAGAGGAGGCAAGTCAATCAATGAGATTTAACCCTCCCCCGACTAAGGTGGTTTGAACCATAGGAGGTTGCGCCTGCCAAGCAACCACTTACCTCAACATGCAGTGGACTGCGTTCAAAGAAGGCTCGAGGTTAACAGATCAAGAAGTAACATCAACTTGTAAGGCTAATGGCTGTTGGTTTGAGTCGTCTATAGTAGTGTAGACTATTTGGTTGGAGTCCTAGAGTTGACGGCAATCAATGGTAGGAAACTCTTGGGGAAATGTTTCAAAATCGGTCAACATTGGGCAGACATACGTACCCATTGATGTCTTCTACGGCTCGAACACTTCCACTAACCTTGATTTTCAAATCCTTTCTCTTTTTATAAATATTTGTCGACTTTGATACTCACTCGTTCTTTGGATACTGCTGTGGAGTATGGCAAATTTAACCCATGCACTTTTGTGCGAGGTCCCACGTTAATTTCGTATATGTTTCTGTCAACCAAGTTTCTGGAGCAAAGAAGAGAGCTACTAGTAAGTTTTCAGTTTAACATTCTATGGACATAGATTGTAGTGATTTAAAAAGTAGTAGTATTGGTAAATGTTACTACTTTGCATGAGATATTTACGTCAGCTAGAAGTTTAATTTAATTAGTTATCTCGTGCTTGCTAAAGGGGTGTTCACATTAGAAGACGACTAGCACACCTCATAGTTCGTGACTTATGTGCATTGACTTATTTAACTAGAGCGAAACATAGAGAAAATAGAATTTAGGCGTATGTATGCCACGTTATTAGTCTATACCCAAAAGGGACTTCCCAATATTAACCAAAACGTTAATTCAACACAAAAATATGGTTAGTCATCCAAAAAATTAATCTCATGTATACTGCGAAAATATTACGAACAGAGATTCATCCATTAAATAAAAGTTCTTACCTGGGACATTTTAGGTGACATGGGGCGGACCATTAGTTTATCATCAAACTGAATTTTTCTATGCTTACTACACCCTGTTTCAGATCGATAGTTGATTGTTCATTCTGACTTTGTTTAGAGAAACCAGTTGTAAATGAAGTCACACTAGTAGGAATATCGTTTAAAGGCTCAGTACAAGCTAATTTCAGCAATTCAGCAGCTGATTCTGGACTTAGTTCATCTGCTTGGGCTTCCAACTGTTTCTGCAGAGCTGCTACTACGGCTTCTAATTCCTCACACTCGTGGCGTAAACGCTCACGATCCTAAAAAAGTCAGACAACCGAAACGTTAAATGAAAGTCACAGGAATATATGTATGCATTTATCAGTATAAAATGTTTAAATTCAAATAAGATTCAAAGAAACCATATATCGTCATCTTTGAAACAATATAATGTATACAGATGAATGCAGATAGCTTGGCCGAAACAGAAAGACTGACGTGTTGTGGGTAGAAGTTAGGCGATGAGTTTAGAAACTTGGACGGTTATCCAATACTGCTGGGAGTAACTTCATTCAAACTGAATGGAACGGATACATGAATCTTTTTTTTTATCGTAAAACGAATTTTTATAACAATCTGCTGAACTACTTCTTTGCACACAATGTCCCCCTTAACAGCTGTTTCTTCGGAATCTTGGCTGTCCAGTTAGATTTACTACATATATTTCGACCTGGTGTAGAAAATTCGATGTTATATGACTGAGAACAACAAACGAGTTTTCTAATATGATGTAAGGAAACTAAAATAAAAACTCGTAGGTACTCTTAGTACTACTTTAGTCCATATAAGGTATAAAATGATGGAAAAACCAAGTACACAACTGCATCGTTTTGAAATCACTGAAGAGATAAATCCAACAGAATAGCGATGAAGAATAAATAAAACCAAAAAGGAAAGGAGATAAAACAAGACTCAGTACGCGCAGCAGACACCCTAGCCATCGCAATCGACTAACAGCTCAACAATCGACTTCCTTTCTGCCCTAGAATTATTTTCCTAACCTCAAAATTCCTCACAGGGTGATTCCACTAAACGCCAGCAAACACCTAAAGACACCGTGGATAGAAACCCTGCAACCGTTTATTGTCTTCTACTTTTAACGGCCATGTCTCAGGCGTACAACAAAACAGAACGCACTGCAATGCATTATACTCGTCCTTTGATAGATAGTTGAATATCTTGCCAGTCAGCACAAGTCAGTAAATGCCAGACGGATCTTCTGTATCCGAGCTGAGATTTCGTCAGCAACCAGCCTGTTCGACAAGCTGATGCAACTCCCCAAGTAAGTGAAGTGGCCGACACGTTCCACCACTTCACTCCCTATCGTCAAACTAGGAGTGGTTGCAGACCAGTCCTGGAGCGTCATCTTACATCTGACAGATGCTGATGAAACGCATGCTAAAAGATACTTAGATTTCTGCTTGACGCGATCACAAGGCCCTGCATTTCATCAGCTTCTTCACCCAGCAGGAAAATATCGTCTGCATACTCCAAGTCAACCAGATGACCTCCAGGGAGTAAATCAATCCCTGTGAAGTCACACGTACCTATGGTTATGTCCATTAGTACGTCTATTACGAAGTTGAATAGGAATGGTGATACTGGGTTTTCCTGGTGAACACCAGTAGTTGTCGTCAATTCACATGACGGCTCTCCATAAGCCATGACACGGCTGAGTGATTTCAACTAGAGAGTTTTGATTAACGCTGTATACTTTCTCAGTACTCCCTTCACAGTTAGACACAGTCACGACACCTCACGGTCAACAGAATGAAATGCTACCTTCAGGTCAAGAAATATGGCAAGTGTCGGCCACTGGTTGGTAGGTATGGCTGTATTCCAGAACCTGTTGACTGGTAGAAATATGATCGACGCACCTTCGTTCAGGCTGAAACCTGTCTGGTATTTCCCAGTTTGCGGTTATCGAGCTCCAATTAGGCGTTGGATAACAATGGACTCTAGGATCCTGGATACAATATTAGTCAAACTAATACGCCTACGGTTACCACAGGAAGACTTCTCTCCCCTCCCATAAACTGGGATGGTCAGAGAAGTCCACCAGTCTCCTGGAACTGTCTCTGAATCCGATACACTGCTTGACACTTTCGTTACGCAAATCAGCGATTTCCTACCTCCATCCCTTAAAACTTTCACGTCTTGCTACTTTGCATCGTTTCAAATCTTATACAGCTTTTTCAATTTCAAGAAGAGTTGGTAAACCGATATCTACGTCCCAATCACGTTCAGACCGAATGTTGAGCCAACTGAAGCGTTGCTAAGAGCTACGTGAACCGTGCTTCAACCTACTCAACCTATCCAGCCACACATCCCAGGAAGTTATCAGGCTACCAACCTTTTCTCTGATGCTTTTACTCAACATCGTCTTCTTGCCATATCCTTAATAAACCTAAATACTTGTCGAGTGCTACACACCACCGATGCTTTCTCTATCTCTCTTGGTCTTCCTACCCAATACTCATCACAATCGTTGCGAAGACTCAGCCAATTTATGTTCAAATTGTTCTCGCTCTTCATCGTGGTCAGTCTTCTCGTATCAATCAGTTAGGATAACATCGCGTAAGCCCACAGCAGACTTAATATCACTCCTTGTTTCACCAGGATGATCATTGCTGTCATGTTCAGATAAATACTCAGTTAACTTCTCTTTCAGTGCATGTTTAGAGTCCTCAGTTTCCAATCAGGCACAGATAGGCCTCACTCCCTCTCGCTTCTTGCGACCAGTAAAGTGCAGACAAACACGAGCCCGTACTAACTCGTGGTCTGACTCCGAGCTTGTAATCCGGAATCAGCGCAACCCTCCACCGACCCTCTCCAACCATGGCTTATAGCAATGTCATCCATCTGTGTCCATCATTGGTTTGGTGTCTGCGGACGCCATATGAGACAGTATCTCTCCTTATGCACAAAGTTGGTGCCGGCCAGAAACAAATAATTCTTGGAGTAAAATTGAAACAGATGATCACCGCTGTTGGTTTGTTGGCATGGGATTCCGTAAATACTACCAAGAGGCATTTCCGATTGGCTCAGCTTCCCTACCGGAGTGTTAAGGTCCCCTGCTGCCATTATGACTAAATCTGATCGTTTCGCTTTCTGTAGCAAAGTTGACAGCTTTTCACAGAATTCATCCCTTGCATCATCCAGACTGCAGTCGGTGGTTGTGTTGGCGGAGATCACGAATAGCCATCGGTTGGTCTCATGATCTTTCCTAGATCATTCAGTCGAACAGCATATAGACGGCGGTTTACCGGTACCCAATCAAGAAGTGTACTTTCTGCTCTACAAGTCAATGCTATGTCTACACCACCGTATCCACAAGAGCTAGCCATTGGATCTCCGGGATACTCTTAAGATGAGTTTTGAATATTCACTACTATGGTTAGGTGAAGTTAATTTAACAAAACCAGAACTCCCTTCATACAAACGTGAATGATCAGCAAGGTATACCAGTTTGACGTGGCTACGTTTGATTCTCATAGCCTACTTAGATCTCGACCGATAGCCGCTACCTTAACGTGGTGGTCGGGATCGCATGTCACAATGACACAGCGAGTTGTGCTCACGAAACGCTTGTACCCTGGAGATTCTTATATACCAGAAAGGTCTGCTGGGTAGTAATTAGACAATAAGCAGTTAGCGTTATGGATAAATTGCTACACTGTGATGGGCGTCTGAAGGTGAAGTCGTACTGCTAGTTGGATAGGAGTGTGCCATGATTAAGGCGCTTCCCTTCGTTGATCATAAGTATCACGCAGATGCTACCATCTGTGTGGGAGGGAGGTTAGAAAACGTCAACACAGAAATAGCACACTCCCAATATCCTGCACCATGCCGATGCTGGCGATATGTGTTCATGGTCAGATTAGAAACCAACAAACCAACATCTCAAACTTGGAAGGCCATGTGCGACCTACCTCAAGCAGAGGTACCCTGGGCTTTGCGATCATGCACTAACTATTCCACTTCAGGTACTTGGAGAACTACCCTCCAATAGTGTGGTGGGCCTGGAAGTGTCAACCACCCTCACAACTCTGTCGGCACTCAAGTTCTCTTAGATGGCTGTCCGCCTTCCATATACTTACCTTCTAATCTTCCCTCACGTTTCTCGATCAATAATTCTGCATCATCTTTATTGTTTGCATCTCTGTAGCTTTCGACAGCGATCTAAGTTCACGGAACAGCACCACTGGTCTCCTAGAACCACGATACAAGCTACACATTGGGGCTTTCAGTGTCTGCACCCTCCGTCAAGTCGCCCAATAAGCTTCGCTGGCTAGGTCTGACAGAGAGACACTTAGGTGGCACTTTTGGAATTTTAGCTGGACTAACAGATGACGACAATCGCCTACTACAACTGTGGCGGCGAAATCATCTGTTATTAACCAACATGAACTCCAGACACAAGGCGAGACACTGTCCGAAGTGGTGTCCACCAAGCTCTACTTAGCGGTGGACACAAACAGATCATATTGCTATCAGTTACCACTGGAGAGGGTCGGTGGAAGATTGTGCTTCTTCTGAAGCACGTGTTCGGACAGAGACCACGCGTTGCTTCCAGCACGCGTATGTCTGCGCTTAAATGGACGTAGAAAAACCATAGCAAGATCACTGGCTAGTGGAACTCAACAATGAAAGCACTAAGGATGCTTTCAGCAAGAAACTGGCTCAATAGTTATCGCGACAAAACATCACTCATCTAAGAGAAGTCTGGTGCCATCTCGTTTATTGTGAGAAAGTGTTGAAGACCGCAGTCGACTCTTAGAGAGTGGCTAGAAAATCAGCAAATCTCAGCAGCTTCTTCTCAAATAGAGAATGTAGGCTTTGAGCACAATGAGGAGCGGAAGCAAGTCATATATGGACTGATAAAGTCTATGCAGTGGCCACAAGCAGACGGGTAGCGAAGTCTAAAGAGATGGAAAAGGTAGAGGCCATAGATAACAGTAGATACTTCTTAAAACTTGTCGAGGAAACTGGGACTGGAAGCTCAGTGGTTAGCGAGATTATAGTGGAGAAGAATTAGCCTGAGATTCACTTGCAAGAAAGATGACTGAAACTATGGACGGAACACTTTGAGGGGCAATTAAACTGATCTCCAGTTACTATTCCATTACGCGCCATCAATTCGGAGCCTGAATTAGACATGGATATGGCACCTCCAACACTATCTTTCATCATACTGCATCAAGTCATGCACTGACTACCTACATTTTTTTCCAAACAACCCTAAGGCAAATTGATGGTGAACAGTATGTGAAGTGCTAAAGCGACATTCTTAACTCATCCAAACACCAGAAGGTGTTGTTTCAAGATGATTTCACTACATGAATGATGATTTCCATCACCTTCAGGCACACGTTACATAACCTAAGTATTAGTTGCATGCTGTTTTCACTTGAAGCTGGTGAGCTTACAAAGATATCAGTGATGGGACATGTACAGTGATCAGACATGCACAGCTCGATGAGGTTAGATTTCACACGCGTAGCGTAGAAATCTCTGTACTGATGGGTAGCATACTCGACCTTTTACAGCAAGGCAAAAGTCACAATGGCATTAGTGACACACTAGTGTATCCCCCCCCTCCGACTTTTGAAATACGGTTGAGTATCTCACCAGTAAAACTTCTACCAGCACTTACACAATTGCCTAGATACACAAACATTTAAAAAAAAAAGGAGTGCACGTACAGGTTCCTGCTATTCTTGCAAAAGCATTGAACTCCGGCTTTACAAAGTATATGTTATACTTACGGACATTGATCGTCAACTTATTACTATTTGAGTAGTCTGTACTTTGTTGGACAGTAAAATGGTATAATCCCATCCAAAAGTCTCTCACTTATAGTAACAAGTCTGCACCACCGCCACTCACCTCTTTCAAGGTTTTCTTTGGAACGTCATCCACGATAAAGCAGAAACGAGAATCATTCAGCTACGTTGTGCACATCCGTACAGTAGGTAATGAGCCACAACTATTGTGTGAGGGCTAGTGATACTACATGGCTGCCTAAACCTCGGTAGGTGGAGCGGAGATCAGACCTGCGACAAAATAGTTGGCAGTCACCTCCCTAAACTATCGAGCTACTACTCTACGTGGTAAAGTTGAAGGGAAATGAAAATATTGGGTTCCCTTGTTGGACTTTATTGCTGTTTGAAGCTAACACTATAGGCATCCAGGAATAAACTGATATGATATACTTAACAATGAAATTTGTTATGGGCAAGGCAATGAGGTGTGGGTTACTTCGGATCCGAAGGATATTAGTATCTAATTTTTACGGATTTCGATGACTTCATCAAAATGAGTAAGAATAAAGCTCCCGTCCTCCTTATCTTCAACGTTCATTTATTCCGTTTCATCCAACGACTCCAAAAACCTAGGCAGGTTTCAGCCTACAACGAAGGTGCGTCGATCATATTTCTACCAGTCAACAGGTTCTGGAATACAGCCATACCTACCAACCAGTGGCCGACACTTGCCATATTTCTTGACCTGAAGGTAGCATTTCATTCTGTTGACCGTGAGGTGTCGTGACTGTGTCTAACTGTGAAGGGAGTACTGAGAAAGTATACAGTGTTAATCAAAACTCTCTAGTTGAAATCACTCAGCCGTGTCATGGCTTATGGAGAGCCGTCATGTGAATTGACGACAACTACTGGTGTTCACCAGGAAAACCCAGTATCACCATTCCTATTCAACTTCGTAATAGACGTACTAATGGACATAACCATAGGTACGTGTGACTTCACAGGGATTGATTTACTCCCTGGAGGTCATCTGGTTGACTTGGAGTATGCAGACGATATTTTCCTGCTGGGTGAAGAAGCTGATGAAATGCAGGGCCTTGTGATCGCGTCAAGCAGAAATCTAAGTATCTTTTAGCATGCGTTTCATCAGCATCTGTCAGATGTAAGATGATGCTCCAGGACTGGTCTGCAACCACTCCTAGTTTGACGATAGGGAGTGAAGTGGTGGAACGTGTCGGCCACTTCACTTACTTGGGGAGTTGCATCAGCTTGTCGAACAGGCTGGTTGCTGACGAAATCTCAGCTCGGATACAGAAGATCCGTCTGGCATTTACTGACTTGTGCTGACTGGCAAGATATTCAACTATCTATCAAAGGACGAGTATAATGCATTGCAGTGCGTTCTGTTTTGTTGTACGCCTGAGACATGGCCGTTAAAAGTAGAAGACAATAAACGGTTGCAGGGTTTCGATACACAGCGTCTTCGTAGAATGGCGAAAAGTACTAGACAGAGGAGGCAAGTCAATCAATGAGATTTAACCCTCCCCGACTAAGGTGGTTTGAACCATAGGAGGTTGCGCCTGCCAAGCAACCACTTACCTCAACATGCAGTGGACTGCGTTCAAAGAAGGCTCGAGGTTAACAGATCAAGAAGTAACATCAACTTGTAAGGCTAATGGCTGTTGGTTTGAGTCGTCTATAGTAGTGTAGACTATTTGGTTGGAGTCCTAGAGTTGACGGCAATCAATGGTAGGAAACTCTTGGGGAAATGTTTCAAAATCGGTCAACATTGGGCAGACATACGCACCCATTGATGTCTTCTACGGCTCGAACACTTCCACTAACCTTGATTTTTAAATCCTTTCTCTTTTTATAAATATTTGTCAACTTCGATACTCACTCGTTCTTTGGATACTGCTGTGGAGTATGGCAAATTTAACCCATACACTTTTGCGCGAGGTCCCATGTTAATTTCGTCTGTGTCTGTGTTCAGCGGTGTTTACCTCAGAACAGCGTGAGCACTAAGAAATGCAGTACACCATTTAGTGAAAACGGGTTGTGAATACAAACAGAAAAAACCTAATTTCCGGAGGGACAATATTACCGGAATCGCATTGATTGGTCACTGGAGAGTAATCAATTTTATTTCGTCTATTCCAATACGCTGACCGATTTTAATTGATCATTTTTTCAATTTGACCAATAAGCTAAGAAATTCACCATCACGATACACTATGGTTGGTTGCCTTTAATCAAGTGATAATCAAATCCCTGTTTATAGGTTTGAACCGTGGAAAAGTGAAGGTCTGTAAATGAGGTGATCTGATTCAACACGATTAGTGAGAAACCAAAATAAAGCATTGGAAGCAAAAAAGCCAGACGTTATCACAAACTAATTAGAAAATTTTCAAGCCAACAGCTATGGACAGAAACTATAGGGGAAGATCAAGTGAAGTTTCCCTTACATAAGAACACAGGAGAGAAGCACAGTCTGGTCATTAGGAAAGTTAATTAGAACTCTGGCTTCAAGAACCCATATATATATATATATATATATATATATATATATATATATATATATATATATATATATATATATATATATATATAATCATCTAACCGCCAACATTGGAATTATAGCTGAAGAGCAACCATTCAACAGGTGAGTTGTTCTCCATATTTCTTGGTGGTTTTAAGGATATACTTTGACTTATCACGTGTTGGATAATGAAACCTTTTTATTAAACGTGATTCACTTACCACTGTTTGCATGAACTCACTACTACTCCCTTGAAAAGTAGAGAGATTAGACTGCTCAGGAAATTCAAACAAGTCGCTATTTTGTGCATTTGTAAGAGATCCAGTATTCTCCAAGTTAGAATCTTCTAGTAACGGAGTCTTATCAGGTATACCTTGAACTTCATTATTAGTTAATGAACAGCATAAGCCATCTGAAGACACTGGTTCAATTAAGACGCCAGGTGGTGATGGTGCGGTAACTCTCCGCGAAACTTTAGTGCTTGGTCCAAGTTGACATCGATCAGTCCCATCAGATTTCTATAAAAATCGACGAAAATAGAATAAATACATGGTACATGTAGGCGGATATGAGTTCTGTGACACACCTAACAGCTCCTGAGTAAAGTGAACCAGTTTACAAGACCGTATTTGTCATGAACATCAAAATGTGAGCATTATTAGTAGATCCTTTGTACATGCATCTTGCGTAGTCAACCATCCCTTAATAAATACTTTCAATCATATACTACTCAAATAGGTTCTGTGATGGAGCAACAGTGCTAACGTCTACCCAAAACTTGAAAAACCACGATGAAATCGTAAAATAGGTATTTGCTTTGCTGGTTTCTGATAATAATAAAATAACAGATTAGGAGTCTTTATTGCTATAGTGCAACCTCACTTACGTAGCTAGTTCACTAGTTACTAGCTGGTCCTAAGCCAGGATAAAGAGGGAAGAATGGGCATACAGCTAGCAACCTTACCCCCGAAAACCAATCCAATCGCAAAAGAAAATTCAAAGCACAGGGAGAATATAAAAAATAAAAAGAAACTTATTCCTCGCCGGAACCGGGGAGATGGAATGACGCCGGTTGCTGAAAGCCCCCGAGGAGATAATTGGCCAATGAAAGCGAAAGTAAGCATGCGGACATGTAATATCCGCAAAATGTTTGAAATTGGCTGGCAAACTTGCCCAGATTGAGAAATAGATGAGAAGGTAGAGCATAGAAGCCCTATGAATCTATGAAAGTAGATGGAATGGAAGCGGACGAAACTACAAAGATCATCTTCACGTCAGCCATCAGGAAAAAATAGGAGACATTAGGCAACATCCCCAAGGGAACCTGAGTGAAAGAACACTGGAACTCTGTCAAAGGAACGTGGAAGGAAACCTGCATAACCGTGTTGAAAAGGGAGAAGAAACAAGACGAGGAATGAATCTCGACAGACACACGGAAGCTGATAGAGCAGGGAGAGGAAGATGGTGAAGCAGAAGATAAACCAGTGCAAGGATGAACAACGAAAAGAAGAACTGAAAACAACGTATAAAACACTGAATAAAGAAGTGAAGAAGACTGCGTGAAAAGACGAACAACACTTCTACGACACACTTGCACGTGAAGCAGAACAGGCTGCAAGTAGGAGAGACAGAGACCTGACAACACTATATCAAATAACCAGGTTACTATCTAGGGGGGGAAAGATCAACGCAGATGAAATGAATGAAAGATAGTGAAGGAAAGCTAGTTAACGCCAAAGGGGAAATGGGGGGGAGACAATGGGGTGACCACTTCAAAAAAACTCTTGAACCCACCACCACCACCCACTATAACTCAGCCACACAATTACCAGTGAACACAAACCCCACAACAAAAGCAGAAGTGAAGTCCTGAACACCACGCCAAAAAGTTGCCGAAATCCAGGAAAGCAGCAGCACAAGATGGAATTCCACCAGAAGCACTCAACACACATGCAGAGACAACAGCGGATACGCACACACCACTACTCCAGAAGGTTTACAAGGAAGGAACGAACGAACGAATGAAAGGTACCTACCGATTGATCGGAAGAACAGCTACCTCGTCAAACTTCCAAATAAATGAGAACTAAGTCTTTGCGAGAACTGGCGCCGAGTCATGCTCCTCTCCCTGTACACCCACAGCAAGCAAAATATTGAGCCACATCAACCTGGAGTGACTAAAACATGCGCTGGATTCAAGATTACCACCGGAACAAGTTGGCTGGCTGGCTAGCTTCATGTGCGCATCAAATCACGACGCCACACTACGCATCATCATAGAACACAGTACACAATGGCAGTCAATCCTCTCTCTCTCTCTCCCTCCCCCTCTCAACTTCGTCGATTTTGAAAAGGCCTTCGACAGAGTCCACCGAGAAGTAATTCGGCAGACAGCTGCTTCAACACTACGGTCTCAGTACCACAAACCTTCATCAACCTCATTCAACAGCCATATGGCGACGCCACAAGCAAAGTGATTCTCAAAACAATAGAAAGCTTAGTGATGCCTTTGAAGTGAGGACAGGAAAGAGTAAGACAAGGTTGTCGCCTACTATCACTGATGATCTTTCTGATTGTGGTCGACTGGACTAGACTGCACTGGACTGGACTGGACTGGATCATGCAACAAACTGTGAGAAGCGAGAAGAGAGGCATACGCTGTTTCACTGATGATAGGACCACAGAAGAAGATTTGGATATCACCCACGATTTACGTCTAATGTCACGTCGCACAAACTCGAAGATCCACAGGCAAAAACTAACAAGTTGGCAAAAGAAGCAGAGCAGCGAAGGCACAACCTCAAGTGAACCTAGAGAGGACACAGCTGATCAACAGATCCAACCAACAACAACAAGCACCAATCTACATCAACGGGAGAAACCTAAATGAAGTAGTCTCTTTCACCTACCCACCTACCTACGCAGCATCGTTTCAACCACAGGCAGCACAGGCACAGGCACAGAAACAGATGAGGATGTCAAAGCCAGGATCGGAAAGACAGCAAGACACCGCTTCCATCATTAGTCTGAAATCAGTGTGGAGATCTACTCCACTCCACTCCACTCCACTCCACTCAGCATAAAGCACGAACAACATCCACATCCACAACATCAATTCAGTCAAGTCAGTGCTGCTACATGCTTCACAGACTTGGCGCGTCACAAAAAGCATTTCCAACAAACTATAGACATTCATCAACAGCTGCCACCTACGCCCACGCTCACCTCATATTGAAGATCAGATGGATGGCCACAAGAAACTCAGTGTGGCTGGCGACGAACCGACGAAGCAACAACCCATCACCCAACATGTATGCAGAAGAAAGTGGAGATGGAATGGATTGGACATAAACTTATGAGACCATTCGGGAACATCACGCGTCAGGCCAGGCCAGACCCTCGAGTGCAACCCAAACGCGAAACGATGAGTTGGGCGTCTGATGGTGACATGGAGGAGATCATATGAGGAAGAAACGAAAGCTTGTGGGCAGTCGTGAAGCCATGTTGAAAAAACTGCAGAGAAGAGAGTGAAGTGATGACGTGCTACTGAAGCCCTATGTTCCACTAGGAACTCAAGGGTAAAATAAATAAAATTCCTTCTGTGGTACGCACAACTTCTTAATATAATTCCTTGATTGCATTTATACTTTGAAGGGATGATTTAATTTGATTTTAATTGGAACACCAATAAATGAAATAAAGTTCCAACTTCTACACTTAAGTGAGCATTTGGTTTCAGTAAATAATCATACCAAAACGTGTTCAATAACTGCCTTAAAATCTACTGAAAAATCTTTTTGCCTATCAATAATATTAGAAATAATCTCTCAACTTGGTGTAAGCCTATCTTTTAACAGTGGGCCACATAAAAAACCAACGCAGGTAACAACCTAACATCACGTTGCATTCTTAGCGTCCTCCTATAACTTTTTTGTGCTGCATGATAACTTGAACGTTAGTACGTTAATTAGTTCTACGAAGTTGTAGCCAAATCAAACTGTCGCATATCTAGTCGCATCAGCTTATCAAAGATGAGACATTACAAAATGTATGAAGCCTCATCAAAGGGGAAAAACCTAAACGTATTACAAACTCAAATCGAATGATATTTTATTGGATGAGTACTCATCAGTGAACTAGACTGAGCAGTTTTCTACTTTTAAACTTTCGTAAAGAAGCAACAACTGAAGAATAACCAGATGCTTTTTCCAAAAATTTCAGGTTTTCGATAACTTCCAGTTGTTGCTATGTCTAAACATAAAAAGGTTCCCAACATATGTGCTCAATAAGCTACATTTAAGGACATTAACTTTAGAAGTTATAGTGATCAAAACACAACTAACCCAGTTGGTTTCAAATGATGAGCCATAAAAGTTAGCAGGAAGAGATGAAACAGATCGCTTTGGAGGACTGCCACCATGTGACTCTGACACATAACGACGATTCGCTTCAACTAGTGCATCTAAATGTGCGTCAGTGAATATTGTATCGCCCGGATCCTCAGCCTGCCAATATGATGAAGAAATAGAACACCGATCAGAAGCAGGCGGGCGCAACAGCAATTCCGAACCAACGTGCGATGCTGGTGATAGTACATTTGCATTAGTGATATCAGTATGTAATACAAGCGTTTCACCACATGCACTGCAGTGTATAGGCTGGCAATAAACGTCACAATGAGAACCCACTGCTGAGTATGACAAGTCAGAAACATAAGATCCATCGAGCTGCATGCGAGGTTCAGGAGAATCGAGATCACATTTGTTAGCAGAGTAGCCATGAGGTGATTTGACCTGAATTATAGGTGAATAACTAGTAACTTCATTGTGGCGCAAAGAAGACCGTAAACGGGAATGCAACGACTTTGAATGAAAGTAATCACGTGAAAGTAAACGCCGCAAAGGCATGATAAAATGACAATTTTCCTTAGGGCAACTCAGCCTTTTGAATCCCGACGCCATACCACAATCATCTTCAGATTTCCGCAGCACCACACTAGCCCCATGAACAGTGTTGAGCGAAGTATCAGAACCATCTGCTGGCATTTCAAATGACAGGGGGTTGTGTACATTTTGTTCGATGACTCTACGTTTGCTTCGGCTAAAAGTATGTCTCCATTTGGGTAACGGAAAACCAATGCGACTGGAAAGCGATGAAGAACGTCTAGCAGGCTCCTCAATTCGCTCCTTTCCGGACTTTGAAGACACTCTTGTTTCACCTTTACCAACGAGACTAGATGATCTGTGGAAAGTTATTCGTAAAGAAGAACTTCGACGTCGCAGTTCTCGGCACATCTGACGCCAACGTGACCAGCCTGGACTTTTGCCTGAAAGCCTATTACGCACTGCTGACAAACGATGAGGTGTATTACGATATTTCTGAAGCAGGCGCCTGCCAGCTACAGCTGATGCTGCGCGATTCAAAGAACCACCGAAGGAATGAGAACGCTTTTTCAGACTGTAAGGTACAGAAGTCACTGGAAGGTCCTCACACGATACGACTTTCACATTTTCATCGACTTGCTGCTTGAGTAGAGAATCATCAATCTTGGAGGTAATTGGCAGATTTTCTGATGGTTGAACATGGCATACAACTTCGTGTGTCTTAGTCACCAGTCCCTGGCTCGAGAGCACTGAACAATTTGATTCCCTACGACAGTGTTTTCTGCTTACCTCATCTCCATATGGCGGGTCATGAGCTCTTTTTAGTGCCGCAGAAATGGAAAGAGGGGCGGAATTGTTAGAAACAGATTCTGGTTTGTCATGCACTACAAGGGCCGTCCGCAAAACTGGTGGAAGAGGAGGAAGGCACGCAGCACCTTTAGTTCCTTTAGGTTTCTTTAGAAATTTAGACACAGATCGTTTGGATTTTGAGGCAGCAGGGCGTTTTGCAAAGTCATCCGGAGAAGTGTTTCGTTCCATCCCTTCAACGGGTACAAACAAACAACCACTGTCGAAAGAATCGAACATAGGTTGAGTCTGTTGAGTAAAACTGAATATGTCCAGAAGTGCATCACCATTTACATCGGAATGATTCGGCGATTTCTGTACTTCGAGTTTAACTGAAGTATTTGGATCACACATCGGTTGAGTCAAAACGACTTCTTCAGATGATAAGAGGCTTCTCTGCTTGTGCATCTGCTTCGTCCGTTGTGTACGTGCAGTGGTCCCTAGCAAAATACGATTGCGAGGCTTACGTAGGCGGAAGCCTCCGTTACTGCACTGATACGCTTCAGGAATATCCTTAGTTTGAAAATCACATGCTCCAGATGCATCCACCTAGTAACGAATGTAGGCATCAAAATACTGTTACCTGTGTTAGCTCTTGACTGAGATGCAGACAACTTTGAAGATCTTGTGGAATAACTAAGAAAAATAAAGAACAGTAATACGCAACAAACGGCTAGTTTTTGCTTCACATTCATAAGCCGACAAAACTTTTCGACATATTTCGATTATACTAATAATTTTATTTGAAGTTTTAAGTGACCTACGACATAATCATCATTACTTATTTTACCTTAAAGTAATTTTTTATTACAAAGAGGACAATTGGCATTCCTCTTCTTCTCAAAGTGCTTATCAATGCAAAATCTGCAGTAAATATGGGAGCAAGGAGTTATGACAGGATTCTGAAAATCATCCAAGCTACATTAGTGTGACACATGACGTACAGAGCACTTACCATATAGAACACCGTAAAAACTGCTTTACTCCTCCTAAACAAGACTCGATTTCCGTAATATTCTCAGTCCCCATTACAGACAATACCCACAAACGACCTTCAAGAAGTTAAATTTTGTGCATCTAACATCCAAATTCAATTGCGCGAGTAAAGGAAACTTGTAGTTTTTGGTTTCTCGATCCTAGGTCCTGACGCTCGGTTCTTTTTCTTCGACTGTACTCTTCCGATGGTAGCAGAAGGTTTTCCGTCTTCCTGCTTGCAGTTTTGTATACATTCAATATTCAATATTGATAGTGCGAGCTTAGAAAACTGATAGATTTTTATCTCTCGCGTCTAGTTCTTAGGGCTTGGTTCGAGCTGTTCGGTTCACTCCTAAAGTGCACGAGGAAATCTCCTCCACTTTCTTGCCTTTAGCCTCGGTGAGGTGGATGTTTTGTGGGCTAGTAGGTTGTCATTTGTAGAGTGATTGGGGAGCAACGGGTTGCTGGGGAGGTTATGGGACTGTCGTGAATCCTGTCTGTGCAGATACCTGAAATAGAATAGTAGGGGAGGGAAAAGAATGAAGAATAAAAAATAAAATGAGGGAGGAGGAAAGGGGAAGAAAGAAAAAGAAAGGGAGTAGGTAAAGAAGAGAAGTAAAAGAGAGAGGAAAGTATGTGGGAACTGCCCGAATAGTAAAAACGGATGGTGTAGGTCTATTTCCTGAAAAATAATCATTGGGTAATGTGGGTGTATTGAAGGCGAGATAGTGAGTGGTGGGCAGGAGGGAGGTGGGGCTGGTGACTACCTGAGTACATACGTGGTAGACCATGCTAGGTGACAGACCGTCCAACCGTCTCTACAGCGAATTGACCAAGGGAGCTATAAAGACATGTTGCAGTAAGACGCTCGGCAAAGCACATACTCTCAGTGAGAAAAAATTGGACCTCAGTATGGTATTGGCCCCCTGGAGTGCTATCTTAATGGGGTTTCCTCGTGAAGACCTCTGTGTTGCGGGCAAAATTGATTTGTTTGAGTGGTCTGCCTGATGGGTGATCTCGTAGGCCGTAACAAGGTCACCCCTCTCCCTACGATAACCCAAGGTAGATAGGTGTAGGCATTTGAAGTCTTTCAGGACGTGTGTTTCCCCCTTAGTCTTACAACTGATTTTGTTGCGGTTCTTTGTACTTTTTCAAGGAGATTAGAGCCTCTCTTGAGTGTTGGGGAGAGCCTCTGTGTTGAAGACCCCTATATGCGGCCGCACGTAGGATCTGGAAACGGTAAGGAAGAGTTTGGGGGCGAAGGTGCCAAGCTGTCTACGCAGAAAGTGCAAAGTTGCTTTCGCCGTGGTCGTCACGCCGTTGTAGCTTAGGCTGGTGTTGAAGGTGTCGGAGAGGTTCAGCCACAAATCTTTCCCCACAGACATTTTGGTGATAGCACGGTTGCTCAACATGCACCAGTAGTCGGTCGTACTTGCTTCATATTTACTGATGTGCATTACTTTGCACTTTTCCAGGTTGAAGCTCAGGGTATTTTCCGACGACCAGATTTCGAGTTGCTGCAAGTCCTTTTGTAGTGCTGTACAGTCAGCTTCCTGGTTTACCGCCCTCCAAATTTTAATGTCGTCAACGAACAGGTGGATGGGTGAGGAGATTTCGTCTGGCAGATCGTTGACAAACAGGAGGAACAGAAGTGGTCCCAGGATTGCTCCTCGAGATATTTCTGACGTCGATGGTCTCCACCCCGATCTTATTCTGCTCACTATGGTGCAGAACTGCCACCTTCCAGGTATTCCCTGAACCAAAGGTTCGGGGATTCACTTGTATTGGCTGACATGATCTTGTGAAGCAGGACTGTGGGTGGGACACTGTCAAATGCTTTGGCCAGCTCCAGAGAAACAACATGTAAGGGTGATGGTTGCCTGAGCACCGGGAGTAACTGCCGTCTGTCGTTTTCCCGGTGTTATCGATCTCCTTTGAGAGCAGCGCACATTCCCGCTCATGGTGTCCTTGTCTTTATACCACAACTCTATCATTCTGGTAAGGAAGTCTGGGGATTCGAAGCTGACGACCAATAGTTCAGATGAGGCTACGGTTGGCAGGTGCCAGGGGATTGGTAGTCCACCGATCGCCACGGCTGAAACCTCGCTTAGCTCCGTCTGAGCCGATGACCATCCCCACTGTTGGGCGTCGTGGTTGTCCTTATCATCTGGAGTACCAGCAGCAAGTTCAGCTACTCCATATGTGACCATGGTTGTGGGTTCTCATGGATCAGCCGCCTCCCGAAATGTGTCTCTCGACAACCATGATCGGTCAGGTCTGGCTCTAATGCTGGACGATCTGTTGATGACCGGAGTATGTGAGGGTAAGAGGAACCTTTCGGCGTCTCTAGTTGGGCATAGAGTCACTCCCATCAGCGGAGGCTACCCTGGGCGTGAATGGGTGTCTCTGCACAGTCGACACGGTTCTGCCTCGAGAGCATCACACCCGGCATGACGTATAGGGAGTCCTCTTGCTACCCGTCAAAAATGTCCTCACTCTCCAGAAGGCCACAACTGCGGACAGGAATGTTAGACAGAATGATTGAGTTAGGTCTGTCAGTGGTGCCAGCATTGTCTGATCCTACAGGTGTGTTTTCTCGGGTAATCTGATCTTTTTTCTCTACCTTAGCCCATTCCTTGGGTTGTCCACCGGTTTCTGTCGCTGAGGTGGCTCCAAGGCTTTGAGTGGCTGCTGCCACCCCTGGTATAAGCGCCTTTCGCTCGCTTTAGAACCACTCAGGTTTGTGACCTTCGGTAGGCCGTTATCGAGATCGTTCAGAGAGTGAGTCTCCTTTGTGGCAGTGGTTTGGATGGATACCTGCCTTTTGGCGGTTGCTGGTAGTTTATCAGCTACTTTAAGTATGAAGCTCAGTACGGTCTCAAGCGCCGCTGTGAGCAAATTTACGAGAGCCACATGCATACATTGCGCGCCATCAAGGCGTAGTGTGGATGTCGTGCTTCTCCATCACATCTGCAATGGACCCAGCCTATGCAGTCGTTGCACTTGAAGCCTGCATAACTCTTGGTTACAGCAAGAGCATGTGTGTAGCAGTCGCCGCTCTGTTCACAGTGTTTGTCGAAACGCTTCCGTCTTACGCTGGCGTTTTCCCCTAGTGATCCGTACAGGTCGGTCGGAATGGGTGCCTGGCGTAGCATGGGTGTCTTAGTCCGCTTGACTGGTGGCGCTGATGTTTACAGCGCCATGAGGATTGGCGGTTCGGCTAAGTGTGAGTGTTGCAAGCCGTGGCCGTTCGGCTGGGCTGGATCTAGGTGGTGCGTTCGTATCCTTTGTAGCTTCCTTCGTCAAGGTTTAATGTCATATGGCTCCAGCCGTGGTACCACTGGGAATGAGGCGGTCGGCGGTGGTGGCGAGGCTATACTCCAAGTACTTCGAGGACTCATCTTTTCGGGGAAGCATACCCTCGTCACGCATGTTAATAAATAGACGAAGATAAGTACAGTTTCAATAGCAGGAGCGGAGCAACAAAAATGTAAAGCAGGTAAACGGAGGACTTTCGACCTTACTTTTGATTGACTGTTACTGAAACTCTGTCCAACTCTAAAAACTATCAGATCCTGGACGTAGAAGTTAGCGAAATATGTTTTGCTGCAGATGCAGTGACCTGAGATGTGATAGTTGGTCGAGGCAGCCAGATGTACCACACAGTTATCCGTTTGGAGCTTGATAGTGGTGAAGAAGTAAGCAGTGGTACGTTCTGCGGCAGAATTTTTGCAACAACGTTGAATAGGGAGTTGAAAGCTCTTAGTAGATGGTCGCAAATGTGGACTTCGTCGAGAGGAATGGAGATGAGCCAAAACACGTTACTATTCAAAGGGCGCGCCGATGACCCGGCACAGACCTTGTTGTAGAAACACACAACTTAAGGTTTTTCTTGTCTTAATTTATGCTCTTCAGATACCATAACAGCTTCACCGTACGAACGCGGAATGCAGGCTCTACGTGAAACTGCAGAAGATTCCCAAATATTCTTACAATGACTACCGTCAGGTATACCTGTACTCTAAACTGATGGTTGTTCACCGTAACAGTTAATTCTTGAGGCTTTTATCCTTTTCCCTAGCCGTCCGTGGCCGACGAAAATGGAATCTCTCCACCCTCACACACTCTTCCACCTGTCACATGTTGTTTGTCTTCATTTTCATCGAGGCTTATCTGTAATTCCGCACCCTGATATGGTGTGATGTCGGATTGTAGACAAGGCACTGTTTTATTATTCCCGACGGTTTGTCTAGATGAACTCAAGGTTGCTATGTGGAGCGGCTGTGTATCCCTTGACAGTCTGCTCGAAACGTTCGTTGTTTGATTTGATTCTCGTAACAAGAAGTTCAACCACATTTTCCGTACCATAGAAAAATTAG